TCCATGTTGTGTAGCTTTGAAAGTGTGTGGCTGATAAATCAACGGCTGTTCCTTTGGATGATGTTCAAGTTGATGATCGCCTAAATTATATTGAGAGACCAGTGACGATATTGGATCGGAAGATGAAGGCCTTGCGAAACAAGGTGGTGTCGTTGGTAAAGGTTCAGTGACAACATTGGAAGGTTTCCGAGTGGACTTGGGAACTCGAGTCAGAGATGCAGGAGCATTACCCTAAGTTGTTCACATCAGTGGACTTTGAGGATGAAGTCTGATTTAAGTGGGGAGAATTTTAACATTCATATTGAAGTTAATTATATTTCCAACCCTTATGTGTGAAGATTGTTGCAAAATGACCCATAGTGGCATTTTTGTAATATTTAAGCGAGGGGGCAAGTCCGTTGGGTATACATAGCATACACATCGCGTACGTGGAAGGATCCCAAACCCTAATTTGTAGGGTTTGGACCCCATTTAAACATCCTTAACTCCCAAGTCTCGTCCCTTTCATCAGCCTCCAGCTCCAATTCATCCCCTTTGCAAACCCTAATCCTTTTGAGGCCATTTTGTGCTTAGTATGTATGTTTTGGTGAAATTGAAAGAGGAAGAAAGAAGAGGAGATCACCCTAGAAGTTTGGAGCATCTTGGATCCATAATCACATCATCTTTGGACACGCTTTAAAGGTAAAAAGCTATGAACTTGATGAAGTTATGCTTAAATCTAGTTTGGCCATGAAGTGTGTGTTGTTTTGGTCCCATTAGTTTGGTAATATAAGTATGAGCTACTCTAGTCCATTTAAGATTTCATTTCAGACATCGTGGAGTGTTTATATGCATAAAAATGTGGTCTTGGTCATTATTTTCCCTTCCATGCATGAGCTTATATGTCTTAATGGGTTAAGAGGTTAGGACTTTTGCTATTTAGCACTTAATGGCCATACAAGACCATAAAGTTGGAAACATTGTGGTTAGGGACAACATTTAAGGTCTAGATCTATAATTTGGACGTAAGGGCTTAAGCATTAAGCTCTTAATAAGAAGGGAAAGGGGTCAGGCACGTACGCAGTCAAACACCCATTTTTGGTCAATGCTCGAGTACGCTCTGTGTACAGACTGAGTACGCCCAGCATACTCAGCTGAGTAGATTCGGTTGACTTTTTAACTTTTGACTTTGACCAGGGTTTGACCAAGTTTGACCTAAGGGTATTTTGATTATAAGTTAAGATCGGTCATGTTCTAATGAATCTGTAACCGATTGAGCTGATATTTAGAGTTGTAACCTGTTCAACGATCTTTCAGACTGAGATATGAGTTTTTCCTCACTGTAATTATGGGTTGAAGGCACCAATGTCGAACCACTAGGTTATGTATCCTGGTTTAGAGGATGTTGTTGTGATGTATTGATCTATTAGTAATGAGTTCTAGTATAGAGGATGTTGTTATGCGATAGTGATCTATAGAACTGCATGTTAGTGTGTTGGTTGCTTATATAATTAATTGTTACTGTTATATGTTATATGTTATGTATATTTTGAAATAGTATGGTTGGGTTGAAGCGTTACTTATTTGTGTAGAAGCCAATAAGCCTGGGAGCAAGCCAGACATAAGTTGTGGGCCCAAGGGGCAAGCCAGACTTATGGTGTGGGCTCGAGAGTAAACCAAACATAAGTTGTGGACATGAAGGCAAGATAGATTCATGACGTAGACTTGGGGGGAGGGGGTAATCCAGTATATTAGTTGTGGACCCAATATGTATGTTGTTATATGTTGTGTGGTGGTACTTTGGGGGAAACTCCTAAGCTTTGACTTACAGTTTTACTTTGTGTTTCAGGTACTTCGGATAACCCGAGCAAGGTGATGTCATGATCATACACATTCGTCGATGATATGTTTTAGGAGATTTTATGATACATTGATCTTAGGGATATTTATATTTGACACTTGATTTGATAGGGTTTTGGTTGAAGGCAATGGTTTCTTTTAAGTTAAAAATGAAAACTTTTATCATGATTTGGAATGTTACAATTGTGTCTGATTCTTTCATGTTTAGACTTTTAAATTCCACTTTCAAACCTTATGCCATTATAGTTTTGACCTTGTCACCACCGAAGTATAAATTTTTTAGAGTCCCGCACGCTTCTTTTGTTGTTTGCATAGTTGCAATCGCCAAAATATCCTATGGACTTAACTTATAGATAGAAGTGAGTGTCATCATATCTCTCCTAGAATCAACGAGATTTTAAGGTATGGGTTCGATGACGCCCTATATGCCTTAAGCTTTCATAAAGACACTCATCTTGATACCCCAAATATCCTAATTGCTTATGTATAACATTGGGTAGTAAAGAGAAACTAGATCGCCTTTGTTGTTTCTTTGCGCTTCCATTGTTTCTAGTCGGGTTTGTATATTTGACATAAAATTGTTTCTAATATTAAGTGTAAGAAGCATCATAACATCAACCTATCAAGGCGAAATTTACGAGTTTGAAACCTATCAACGCAAGCACTTTGTTTGTTGATATAAACACACGAAAAATAAGAACATAACAATGAAAAAACAGAGTAAAATTCAAGATCAGATTCTACTACTGTGTTCATTCAACTTAATAAAAAACTCCCCACTTAAACATCAAGCAATTATTCTTATTTATTATGAAAGAAAAACAAAAGAACATTTCTAAAGAGAAGTGTTTTCATAGTTAATTAATTTTTTTATATAAATCATTCAATACAATTAAAGCATATAAGATATTTTTTGAGTGAACACCTCAAATATATTAAGTTGTCAATATATTTTTATTTTGTGCACATGTAATCTGTGGTTCTTTAATCATGTGTCATTTTGCCCATTCGATCATATTGAAGTTATGAATATTTGTTATTCTTTTGCTAATTAATTATTTATATTAAATGTTTAATGAGATTTGGATTTTATTACGATTTAATAATATTTTCAATATTTTTATTTTGTAACTATGAGATAACATTTTTTTTTCATATTTTATGTATATAAAATAAAAACCAGATATAATTATACTTTCGTTTGTTTGTGATAATTTACATTTGATGTATGTTTAAAAAATCACTAATAAAATGTGAGGGTTATATAAAACATTTTAGATTGATGAATATAACTTAGTTAAAATTTATAAAAATAAATAAATAAATAAATAAAAATAACTACCGGAATTTATTGTGTTTATACTTTCGTTTGTTTGCGACAATTTAGATCTTATTTATGTTTAAAAAATTGACTAACCAAATGACAAGATTCTATAAAACATTAGTTTATAACCCGTGAGAGTCATGGTTATAAAATTAATTAAACTTTCATAATAAAAATTTATAATTATTAATCAATTATTTTAAATAAATCATTTTAATTAATTTATTAATTAGGAGATATATCAAACTTTTAAAGTTATTTTAAATTCAAATTTAACATATAATAAGAAAATGTAAATTTAAATTTTGAAATAAATTGCTTAATATATCTAAATTACACACGATATAATATTAATAAGAACTTGTATTACAATGACATTTAACAAATTAAGATTAAAACTATTTATTTATTAGAATAGAGATTTTAGATTGATAATTGCTAAATTAATTATTATTTTAAATGGCTTCCGACAACGGTATTCGGTGTTGCTTTCCCTTCTTGAGGAAGAGGGTTCAAGTCCCATTGTGAATATTGATGAAATAATTTAAGAATAATTTAGTATATATTTATATTTGTTGTCCAAAAAAATTAAAAATATTATTAGAAGTTATCATTAATGAGATTAGCTCTTAATTATTTTGAGTTACATGGCCGATATGAAAATTTATAATGGGTTGCCCCCAAACCCAATACATCGGCCCAATCTATTCTGCCTACCTGGTGAGAAAACACGGATCAAGGACCCAAGGGGGCAGATCATAAGGTCCAACCCAATTTGTATACCTACTTACTTCTAACAAAGGAAAATGATTTTGACACATGTCCTTCTCTCATAAGATTAACCACATCTTATTTATCATAATTTAAAATATATTTATTTTCCACTTGTCATTACTTTAATTTTCATTTCCAATATATCATTGATTTACTTTCCTTAAATTAAACATACCATAATGATTATCAAATTTTAAATTTTAAATTCAATTCCAAATAAATTTACAGTTTAAACTTTTATGTTTAATATTTTGTTATAATTAACCCGTTTAGTACACACTAAACTCATAATTTTAATTAATTTATTATTTGCATATTTTTTTTCTCATAATTTTCACTTATTTCAATTTCAAATTCAAATAAAATTTCTATTTAATTGTTCGTACTTAACATTTTGTTTTAATCAACCCGTATATTATACGGGTCTCACAACTAGTTCTAGAATAATACGTTGTTTCCTATCGTCATCCACACTGACACACTTCCGTTCTTTCTCACCTCCTACTTTTGTCTTACGAACACATGTAAGTCTTTGATCATTTACCCAATAACTTAGAAATTCCTTTTTAATAAACAAAAACAAAAACAGAATGTTAACGTAGTAATGATGTCAATATCTTAATTGCTAACGAGCTTATAAAAGTTAGCTCTAGGTTTGTTCCACAACGACTATATACAACTTTTTTTTGTAACCATTCATTATTGGGCAATATTTAAGATGTTTGATAGATATCATCACCACACACGTATCGTTGCTAGGAACAGATGAAAGGAAAATCTCAGAAACATATTACAAATTAAGGCGATATGTTTACGTGATGGGTGATAATACTTTTTTATGGCAACTTAAAGGGCGTGCGTTAATTCTATACTTGGTGGAGGTTTCCAATCTTTCGTTAAATAACTAAGAAAATATAAGCGATCGGTGTATCATTATTGATGTCCTGGACAGCGAATGACAAACATTAGATGAGACTGTTGATGGTTGTGAATCTGGACCAAACGGATTACTGCTACAAAGCACATATATAACTATTAATTAATATATGGAAAACTTTTGCTCCTATAAAGAGAGTTTGAGGTTCAAGTTAGCTTCTTCTTCTTCTTCTTCTTCTTCTTCTTCTTCTTCTTCTTCTTCTTCTTCTTTCCTGGGTTGCTTAGGTTTCTGGTGGACTGGTACAGGACTTGTGTGGCAACCGACCGTGAAATCTTGCCATTCAAATACGGGAGAAGATGGTGATTGCAGATGGTGTAATTTTCTGGTCTTGTTAGTTTTTTCCATGTCTGACAATAATTCTTGCCTTCTCCGATCCCGTGCTTCTCTGAAGCTTCTGATGAGAGTAAAAAAAATCTCCATCTTCCTATCATCATCATCATCCTCCTCCAAATGGTGTTGTTGTCCGGATGATATGATGTTGTGACGATTTTCCATGGGTCAAATAAAATATGGTTTGGAGTTTGGAAGACTTGATTTTATACAAGGATGATCGTGGAATCAATCAGCTATGTTGACTCTATCGTTTTTAACATGACAGACTCCGCCCTACGTCATGCACGTACGTAACCTTGGCCTACGTCACCGAGGATTTTATCTCCTGACTTCCATGGGCCGCCCATGTGAATGTATATAGAGCACATTAGAGCGTTTAGACTAGCCTTACATAAAAAAACCGGTTTATGATCCGAACCGGTGGCCGAACCGAAAACCGGTTCACCCTTGAACCGGTCTACTGTTGAACCGTTCCGATGTCGAACCAAACCGCCGGTTTGTAGTAATTAGGAGTTCTAGCCATTCGAACCGGTTTTGAACCGATTTATACTGAACCGATCTAGAAAACCGGTTTTGAACTGGTCTAGAGAACCGGTCTTGAATCGGTTATGAACCGGTCTTACAAATTAACCATGTATATATTAGCCATGATATCCTAAGAAACAAAGCAAACATTGTAAAAAAGAAGCAATTTCATCCGATTTTTTTTAAATGGTTCAGCGAACCGGTTTTGAACCGGTTTATGGTGAACCGGTTAGTACTGAACCGAACCGGTTTGTATAGGTTCGAATTATTTTGGTAGTGAATCGGTTTAGGGGTGAACCGGTTTTGACTTCGTTGACCAGAACCGAACCGGTCCGATTCAAGAAAAAAACCGGTTTGTGCATCCCTAGTTTAGACTATCTCATTCACAACCCAATCCAACACAATCATATATTAAATAATTAATTTCTTTCTCTTCATATCTTGAACTCAATTAATCTCAATCTTTTATTTTCATTAGCAATCCAACCCAATCAAATTCTATATTAAAAAATATATCAATATTGGTATCATATCGTAGAGAAAAATTAATCATGTATTTTGATATATTTTATTTATTTATTTACTCAAAATGAAAAAACAGTTACTAACAAAATTAATTTTAATTACAAAAGTAATTTAACTCCACCATTAAATCTCTATTCTAATAAATAAATATGTTTATTTTCCTTTTGACAAGTGTTATTGAATTCGAACTTCTCATTAATATTATATGTCCCTTATCATACTATTTGCCAAGATATTAATTATCCATTTCAAATTTTAAATTTTAAATTTCTCACATTTACATTAAATTTTAAATTTCAAAATTAAAATTTTTTCACTTTAATTATATTAAATTAATAACATTAGATTCAAAAATAAAATAAAATTAATACAAATTACCAGGTGATATAATTTCACGTATTTATTTAAATCAACGATTATAATTTTATATAACTAAACAAAATATCTCTTAAGTAATAATTTATTTAAAATAATTTATTAAAAATTTTGTTTTTTAATATGAAAATTTAATTAATTTTATAATCGTGGTTCTCACAGGTTATAAACTAATAATATTATTAAAAATAAACAAGCTTTGGTGATCTTGGATTTACATGTGGCCTAGGTCACCAAATATCTTTTAGTTTTGATTTTCTTTTAATTTATATATGGGGAGCCGTTCACCAAAATCACCCCAATGGGGGTAGTCTTAGTACAACTTTTATCGATGATTGATTGGTAGAATTAATCATTAGAGTCGGTAATAAGTTTAGGTTTAATCAATTTATTATTAGGTTGAAAATTAGAAGTAGAGCGTTGGTTTGGGTTTAATTAATTTATTATTAGATTGAAAATTTCAACCTAATCCAACCTATTTATTTAAATTAGTTGATATTTTCAATCCAACTTAATCTTCCAGATAAATGAGTTGTTACCAGGTTGACGTGTTTATGTAGTTTCCAACCAAATCTACTAAATAAATCGGTTAAAATTTGGTTGACCCATTTAAAATAGAAATAAATAAATAAATAACAAAAATTTACACCATTTAAATTAGTTACAGACTTAAAAAAATTCAAAATATGACAATAACACAATCACAATTCACATATAAAAAGAACTTCTTCAAATAACATTAAAGATATATAATATTTACGTATTTTGGAGAGTGACTAGTGTTATTTTGGAGAGTGACTAGTGTTGTTGGTACCAAGAAAAAAGATAAGAATTAGGATTCCATTTTTTTAAATATAAATAATAATACGAACATTATAATTTATAAATTAATACTTAGATTAATACATGAAAATATATAAATAATTATTGAATTAAATATAAATTAATGTTAAATGGGTTGATAATTTTTACCTGACCCAACATATTTAATTAAATGAGCTAGATGGGTTGACCCATCTAACTTAAATGAGTTATAAATCTCGACCCAATCCGCTAATTGTAGGTTGTGTTCGGTTTGGATTAGTGAGTTGGATCCATTCTTGTCAACTCTAGGTAGAATGTATTTTTGCGTTTTCCAAATCTTATAACAATGACATTCCGACTACACATCACTTTATTAATTTATTATTTGTGAGTATTAAGGCCCCTACCTTGTAGAGGTGACAATCGTGTCGTGTCGGGTTCGTGTCGTGTCAAAACACTAAACGGGTTGAAAGTGCTTGACCATAACCCGACCCATTTAATTAACGTGTCGTGTCGTGTCAACCCGTTTATTTTCGTGTCGAGTTCGTGTCGGGTTTCGGGTTAGGCTATACCTTGAAATATGTCGTGTCATGTGAGGTTAAAAGATTGATCATGTTAAAAGAGTAGGAGTTGGATAGGCGGAAAGGAAAAACTAATAGTTTGGAGGCAGAATAGATGAAGTCATAGCAAGTTTAGATGACAAAATTAAAAGAGTGGGAGTTAGGGAGGCGGATGAAAGATCGCAAGGATGTGAGAGTGGTGAAAGAGACTGGGTAGTTTGGGAGAGAATGGAAAAACTGAAATTAAGTCTTGATCTAGACGGTTAAGTCATTTCAACATTACAAAACGACTCAATTCGAAGGTTTTCTTTTACTTATGGTTTTGGTTTTGTATCTTTCTAGTTTATTTAAATAATTCAAAAAACTTGCATATAAATAAACGGGTCATTTTCGAGTCATATTCGAGTTGAAATTTTCAACCCTAACCTTACCCGTTTAATTTTCGTGTCGTGTCATGTCAACCCATTTATTTAAACGGGTTGAAATATCTTACCCAAACTCGTTTATTTCGTGTCGGGTTTCGTATCGTGTCAATTTTTGCCACCTCTACTACCTTGGCCTACGGCCACCCCCAATTACTAAAAAAACATTTTCAATGATAGAATTTTACCAATTGTGACGCACAATAATTCTATGACAGACAACAAAAGTAGACCGTCATAAAATGTCATATTTCGTAAAATATCAATGATTATAAAAGAACTATGTAGCATCTTGTGAACATTGATAATGTATAAAAATGTACATTGTATTTTAGTGTTTAAAACTGAAATAAAAAAACACCCAGTATAATTATTTTTTATGTCTATCATCCTTAAAGCAATTTGTCGTCTTCTATGAATCCCCTTCTACGTATTCATTGAAAATTATCAACACTCAGCCATTGGAAAAAAAATAGACAAAAAACACATCAAATTTGGGTAGCTCCACGGGTGTTGTGCTTGAGAAATTGACTCGTCATTTTCTCCACTAGTCACAACATTGTCGTCACCACCCCCACACCCTTCACTATTTCCATTAATGTTAACGCCTTCTCAATTTAGGGGATTACGATCGGTTATGCTCAAGAAATTGACTCGTCATTGTCTACACCGATCACGCAATTGTCGTTACCATTCGCTGCAAAACTCACCATTTCGTTACTATTCATGCCCTAGCGATGTGGGGGGGGGGTTATAATTTAGGGTTTGCATATTGTTCCATCATCCTCTTTCACAACAATAATGATAAGAGCTAAAGTGTAAACCTTCTTTATGTTGATTTCCTCATGATCTTAGATAGTACATTGTAAACACAAGTGTTTAGCTTCTTTACGTTTCTTTGTATATTGCATATTGTTACTTGTTAGTATTTAATAATTAGTTATGATTTGTTAAGTTCTAGGATTCGTTACTTGGGAGAAAAAGTTTGACCAACTTATTTAGTCATCCCAATGTAATCATCAAATCTAACATTACAACAGTGGGACCAGCACATACATCCATTCTAATTAAAGTTAGCATCATTCACTTGTGATTTGATCATTGACCCAACAATGTCATGGTTGCTACTCTTGGTAGGAGGTAATCAGCCTTGTTTTTCTCATCATGCACTTGGTTCTAAATGAAACCCCATAGAAGTTAATGAAACATTAGGATTCCTTAAATCTACCAACCCAATTTTCTATCCTCACATCAGCATAGATAATCATATATATGTTAGACTTTTTTTTTCATATTCAAATCTCTTTCTCTCTCCATGCTACAAGTGTATCAATGGTCACAAGCACTACATGAGGTGTAATTACATATTACCCCCCCCCCCCCCCCCAAAAAAAAAAAAAAAAAAAAATCCGTTCACCAAACATTAATTAAAGGTGGATGCTATAATAAATAAATTAATAAAAACAAATATTTATTTCTTGTCTTTTAACTCTATACTGTATCAATAGTCACAAGTACTGCATGAGGCGTAATTACCTATAAACCCCCCAAATCCATTCACCAAATCTTAATTAAAGTAGGATGCTATAATAAATAAATTAATAAAAACAAATTTCTATTTCTTGGCTTTAACTCTAAACTATATATATATATATATATATATATATATATATATATATATATATATATATATATATATATATCCTATTTTTCTCAAAGTGCATACATCACTTGAGATGTATGTGTTAAATAACACATGTCCTTACATCTACACTGTTCTCTAATCGTATCTATCGTTTCCATAAAACAACGCATCAATATACTAGCACATCCACCATCAATGTTGCCCTTCTATTTCTCTTTCTTGACATTCTCTTGTCTTTATGTTTCTCTCTACAAATGTTTGCACAAATTTTTGGTCATCTTCTCCAATGATTTCAGATAAACCTAA